CTGGTTGCTGTGAGATGCGCTGTTTCTGCCTAAAATGTAAGTGACCTAATATTATTGTATTTGCTTATTGAACTGTTTATAGAACTATTAAACAGTCGTAATGGTGACAACGAGTGATGTTGCCTAACTAACTGTATTTTAAATATAAAAACTTTCCATTTTGAATTTTTACCTCAGGATGTGGAGTTTCTTAGTGCTGCGCATTTTGATTTCTCCTGGAGAGGCTGCGGGAGCCTCGCCTCAGCAGTGCAACCTTATACTGTCAATACATACATTATATACATTAGATACCCACAATTCGCCACTTACTCTAAATGTAATAAAATCAGAATAATATTGCGTTTTGGGGTTTACATAGTTATTTTTGGTTTCTGATGTTTTAATCATGTTACTTGTCTGGCGTTAATGAAGAGTTAATGTCAAGCCCTGGAGTCTATAACGTTAAGTGCCGGGGCTCAGCCCCAGACGGCCCGGCCCAATTTAAACCCTGGTCTTGTGTAGCATGATGCTACAGTGTGCATGAATGGTCACATAACACGCGCTTTCGGTCTTGAAGTATGAACAGACATCTTCATATGATTGGAACTCTACACAGCTCTTGCGCTACTCTCCATTGGAAATGAATGACTTTCGGTCTGTCATTTGTTGGAAATAGTGGAAAGCCGGCTTGAAACGCAGTGGAAACGTCAGTATGACGAGGATCGTTTTCATTTTAAAACAAAAACGCACCAGTGTAAATGTAGCCTTACAGCTACGGGGGCTGGGACGCTTTTACACTAAATACTCATGTGTGAGCCACATCTCTGAGTGTGGCGTGTGACGTGGACCAACTGTGCAGACCTATCGGTGTATTAGGCTATAGTACCACGAGCAGACTGCGCCGTACGTTTTCGCATCGCTCTCGCGGATGTCAAACACTGATCGATCTGCGCCTCACTGACATTGATGAGATTAACCCCTTAGGTATCGAAATTTGGTACCGAACGACAAGACGTTTTTCGATACTCGATGGTATCGAGGCAATTCGGTCGGTGCCTAAAAAGTATCGAACTCGATACCCAGCCCTAGTCACAGTTCAGAGCCACTGTACATCCATACACCTGTATGCCGTGTTAAATGCTACTAACCTAAATAACAGGCTACAGTTAATCAGACCTGATAGTAATAAGACAATAATGATCAGTAATATGTAGGGGTAATATGTGGGGTTGGGTGATGAGACCAAAATCTTATATCACGATAAGAGTCATTTTATTTCACGGTAACGATATACATAGACAAGTGAACAGTCAGCAATTAAATAAGAATAAAAGCCTAATTACAAGCAACAGGACAAAAAGACTATAGTAGAGCAAATAAGAAATGCTGCATACATTTTATAAAGTAGCCTAATCAAATAGGCCTATATAAAAATACTGCATATTCTTCACAGTGTAAATTAAATATATTTCTTCTGATTAAAGTTACAAAATTTACTTAAATCAAGAGCAGTGATAGACTTTCTCTCTTTTGTTGTGTGATTTTTGATTACATGAATGACAGACAGCAGGAATATTAGACTGCTGTCACTTTAAGAGCTGCCCGGATCCAATATACTGTTACACGTTTTCTTTCTCAGCTGTTCGCTTTCACTTAAGAACTAAATTACTGTTTTTACGAGGATACTTGCAGAGACTGGCATTTTAACGGTTTAATGCCTATAAAGCGGCAAAAATAACTCTTTTCAAAAGTCCTGCGATCTATGAGCACCGCTGTCACTGCTGTGATTGCGTCCACTGTGTTTCAACTGCTTAAAATCACTTGTTTTTAAACCACAATGCTTAAAAACGTGTGCAAACTATACATTTTCGTGACCACGTAGCACAGCAACGTCATGTGCTAATAACCACGATAGAGATGATAGTCCAATCCAAAATCTCTACTGGTTGACAAATTTCTACCAATTAATTGTCTGTCTACCACAGGATTGGGAATTGAAAGTCGATTCCAATTCCAGAATCAGATACTTAATGTCAGTAATCAGATACTTGTAAAATTTAAATTCGATTCCACCTTTCGATTCCTGTGAGCCCTCCTTTTTTTTTTCCTTCATCTGTGAGGACCCGACCTGGTGATCTGGCAGGACCTTGCTGGCTAATCCAAGTGCTCTGAAGTTTGGCTACACTTGTGATCAGAAGCCGAAAAAGCCAAGTATAATATCTATGATGAGCTAAACATTTTGCAAGAGAGGTGTCACCAACAACAAGACAAAATCACTTTCATTTAACAGATTGTTAAAGATCACGAACATGATTCAAACAACAACGTGACTCTATTCCTAAATTACAATGATTCATCGGTTTCATTTCTCAACCTTTGGCGTGTGCGATCACAACGTTGTGATGACCCTTGGTTTGTCCGTGCAGTGTACAATCACACCAGTGTGATTGGAGCATTTAAATCTGCGTTTGCGCTGCCACTGACCTAAAGAGAGCAGCTTATCATGTATATATTTTAAGAGAATTACTCAAAAATGTTTATTCATCCAGTAATGAAAGTCATTGAATCATTCATTCATATATTACAGTGATTTTCTTTAGGTTTTTTTTAATGTTTTTTTCTTCAGAATCATGAGAAAACTACAATCTCCATTGTATTAAAAAAAAAAAAAAACTCAATTTATCCAGAATCATGCAGTGATTATAACATGTTATAGTTGCGCCGCCTCTACTGCCGTGACTCCTGAAAAACTTTTTCATTCTGCGTCGCCCCATCAAGCTCTCGCTGGATCCGTTCCTCGTCTACCAACGAGAGGAACGTCTGTACATCCTCAAAAGACCACGAAACAGTCATTTTTTGGTTGTTAAAAAAAGGTGCGCTCATTCAAAACGGTTGCGTTCGATCCTTAGCTGGCTGCGCTGATTTAAAAGGGTCATATGATGCGATTTCCATTTTTTCTTTCTCGTTGAAGTGTTACAAGCTCTTGGTGCATAAAGTAGATCTGTAAAGTTGCAAAGACTAAAGTCTCAAATCCAAAGAGATATTTTTTATAAAAGTTAAGAGTCAACCACGCCTACCCAAAACGGCTCGTTCCAACACGCCCCCACATGTCTACGTCACGATGTGGGAAGATTTGCATAACACTGCCCAAATGTTCACGCAAAGAAAGGCGGCGTAACTTTTATTCTCGCTGTAGTATGGTTGTTGTTGCCATGTTTCGTTGTGAAAGCAAAACTACTTTGTTTGGCCTTCCAAAAGAGGACGATATCTGCTTCGTCATGCCTAGATCGGATCCATGCTGGTCGCTGAGGAAATACATCAACTTCGCGCTGTGGATTGCCGGATCGGCTTTCGCCGTGGACGAGGCGGGGTCCAGCCCGGGGTCGTCACATGTGGTTGCCGCAAGCCCGCCGGCCTCCGCTCACTCAAGCCGCTGGCTCTTTTGGAAGGACACGACTAGAAATCAGTGGTCAAGTTGTATTTACAACACTGTTCCAGAACAGTTCAACCCAAATATTAAGATGTGTGCAGCGCATTTTATGGAGGACTGTTTCCTGATCCTGGGAGAGTAGACAACAATGCTGACTGTTCTGACTCACAGACTGCAAGTATGTTTTCATTTAAAGGATTTGCCACTGATGATTCAAATGCGAGTTTTGAGCAGTTTAGAGTAGCGCTTGCTTGTCATTTCTCCGATCACACATGCAGACATGGTTTTATGTTTACGCGGTGCGATGCAACGCATAAAAAGTCCATATAAGTCATTATAATCCGTAATTATGTCCCCACTGGATGCAACAAATGCCTCGTTTGTAATGGGTTTTATTGGTTTTGTCTCGTAGTGCCGGGACACAGCATCACAGTACAGTAAAGGGTGTAACATTTCAGTCACACGCTTGAGGTATCTGGCCAATCACAACGCACTGGATAGCTGGCCAATCAGAGCACATCTCGCTTTTCAGACCGATGAGCTTTGTAAAAATGTACGCGTTTCAGAAAGGCGGGGCATAGAGGAGAAACAATAATGTACAGTATGTGGATAATAATGTGTTTTTTTTTTTTTACCTTAAACCGCATAAACATTTCATTACACCAAATACACAAAATAATGTTCTTTTTAACAACACCATATGACCCCTTTAAATCTAGCAGGTCTGTTGTGTCTCGTATCGCAAGTTCAATGATGCAGGTAGTGGCGATTCTCTCTGGCCAATCAGTGATCAGCAGGGTTTATACGTCACATTTTGGTAACCGTACGGTTCACTTGGAACCTCAACCGAGGAGGTACTGAAAAAAGTACCAAGTACTGTCCACAGTGGAAACCGCCCCAAAAGTGAACCGTACCGTACCATGCAGTGGAAAAGCGCCAAAAGTATACTCAACCATGGATGAGCACGGATGGACGAGATTGACACATGTGCAGTACCACCTAGTGGACTCGTTCTCAACATTCACCTCGCGCCTGCAATGTTGTACATGGACAATCCGCGTGGACACAAAAATTGGGCTGCAAGCGGATGGTGTGTGCAAACATCCGCAGACACTTCTGATGACAGAAACGGTCTCATGTGGACTGTGCGTGCACTGTCGTGGAACACGGATGGCTGAACTATACTTTAGGCTTTATGATCAAAAACATCATAAAAGACCTTTGTAAGCAAGAATCAGAGCCAGCAAAACTTCAAAAGATGTTGGAATGCTCAATTCAATGCCAGTAACCATGGCACATACTCCCAAGACATACTCCAGCTCTTAGTACAGAGAATACAGGCAATGAGCAAACTTCTCATAGTAGTGCACAATGAAGAACATGGTCAAACGGCTTGGTCCCAAATACCAAGACTATAACATCTCCCCCACAGATTATTCAGAAACAACGGCCAATTGTTAAAGAATGAGAACAAAAGAACTGGAATCTCCCATTACAATTCTATGACCTACATAAAGTTTATTTGTACTAACTAGGACACTGATTAAACCATCTTTGGTCAAATTAAAGCAAAATAAAGATGACAAGAGGGAGAAGAAAATCACATTACATAAATAGAGGGCAACTAACATAACAGGAGAACATTAAGATATAAATTAAGCATAGCACAGCAACAAAGGTCAACATATTTGCATCTTTATCTTCATTTCTGTAGCATTATGCCTATCAGAGGCACCAAAACTCAATTAAAATGATGCAGATGGAAAGTACAAAACAAGAAGTTTCCACAGAGACGCTGACTTCAGACATCCAAAGGCTTGGGTTTTTACAACAACAAAAAAAAAAAAAACATTTTGCTTTTCAAGGGGTCATTATCCTCATGGCAGAACATAAATTGCCATGGCTATGATTGTGATAAAGACAAGACTAACAGATAATAAGATTGTTGACCATTATGTATCTATTTTTCCAGCTCCTAAACAACAAAATAATGGGTTGAAAAGTTTAAGATGACAATATAAAAGAGGTCAAAGACGTTCCTACAGGAGCAATCGCCCTTTTAACACAAATGGAAAGAACACAACACCCACCGGCACAGACATTTACATATCAATAATTAAGTTTTAATTAAGCAATGGCCATTAGAATGAAGGTAATGTTCCAGATTAAATGTGTGTCACTCTGCAGAGCCTCAGGCAGTGAATTTCCCTTATATTCCAGTTAAACATTGTTTTAAAACTTAACTGCTCTATTCATTCTAGATATTTAAGGGTGTGTGGTCCTCTTATTTTCGACCTCATTAGCACCATTTCAAAATGTATAAGCTCATTCATTTTTAAATATTTGTCTTGTGGTATAATGTAACAGAAGCCATCTGGTTTACCAGTAATTTTGTAGCAACGGAAAAAGGAAAACAAATGGTGCAAGACTAACAAGCAGCTTGGTTCAAGGGAAATTAAAATGGTCGATGACTTGAATTCAAAAATTCAAGAGGCTCACTTTGAAACAGACACAAAAAAAAAAACTCCAAATACAAGGGAAATTTGATTTGGTAAGCACAGCACTTATCCAAGTCCCATGAAACTACAAACTGAGTGAGTGAGATGGCTGGTTTAGCAAGAGTTGCAAACAAAGAACCCCATCAAGTAACCCTCATTTACCGCACAATGTTACCCACAAACTGGCAAAAAGTCTTCTCCTAGGAATGCCAGAAACATCTAGCCAGCACATATACATATACCAGAAAGAACAAAGTAAGAGTGAAAGAGAAGATGAGAGGAGGGGGAGATGCTGTGATCGTTTCATGAGGAGACTTGGATGGAGCTAGTTTACATTTCCCACAGTAGGAGTGTGATTGTGTTTCTGCAGTGCAAACATTTCATTTGAAGACGCAGTGAGAATATATATTGTGTGGCATGCAAATAATGAAAACAAAGTTAAACCCATCTAAACAGACAGATCAAATGAGTGCTCAAATTCATAACCACTATTCACTACCCATTGCTCTATTCTCAGAGTTAGACATTTCATTCCAGGCTGAATTCAGAGTCAGTGCAGAAACACAGTGTGCACACAAACCACACCCTGTAGTCCCGTTTGTCTAAAACACCACACATCCAACAAAAGGGAGTCCAAACAGCCTTGTAAACTGACATTACCACATAAATACATAGAATTAAGCACATAATTAAACCGTAATCATCACATAAGACCAGTCATACCCACATTAACTGGCTGACTGCATTTACAATACTTACAATTGATGAGCTTGAATATGTAATCATCTGCAACAAACACTGTTTAACTCTCTGCAAAACAAGTTTCCCACACTTTTTGGCCAATGACTTCCAGTCGTTTGTGATTACTAGATATTTTTTTAAATATAATTTTCATTTGCTTTAAATAATAAATATATTAGAAGCCACACTCACAAAGTGATATTTCTAATTGATAAGATTTTAGATCTGAGCAATATTAAGAAAATTCAATTACTCGTTTAAAAATGTTAAGTATGATTTAATATTTCAAAACTTTCTATAGCATTTTACCAAATGTAAAAAAAAAAATTCATAAAGATTAAATAGTATTATTAATGAGCTGAGAAAAGAAGGTACATTTGTAAGGGGATGGGAAAGAAATAAAACTGATCAATCCTAATCATTATCAGAATCACATGACTAAATATAGATATAAAAGTGAGATATATGAAAGGAACGAACAAGAGACTGAAGACATAATTGGTAATGCAGCTAACTTGGATCATAAAATCCATTTAACTCAAGTGAAGATACCAATTATCACTCCCAGAGAGTAGCATCAACAAAAAGAGCACTGTTGAGCCTATACTCTGGTAAAACCTAATCTAAGCAGTCTTTCAGGGAGTCTGGCTCACAAAGCGACAGAAACTTGAGCCAATAACCACCAGACAAACCAGAGACCATTCACTGTGAAAAGCATGCAGTCATTGGTATTTGTATGGCATATCCACTAAATGGTGTGCAGAACACAAAGCACTTCTCAGATGTTACTTCATCCAGATCTATGCAGGAAATCTGCCTTATTGATACCTTAAAGCCACATCAAGAGTTGTGCAATCATGCACTTCCCAGCATTTACATTTTCCATTCAAATACAGTCAAATGTCCAAGCTCAAATCTCCAAAAGCTGCTTTACCTGTTAGTTTTGGGAGCTGCAGTGGTTTTGGCTGTGGCTGAAGGTCTGGGTTTGGCAGCAGGGGCAGCAGCTGGCCTTGGAGCAGGAGCTGAGAAAATGAAATTGAAATAAATCATGTTCCAAAGTAAAAACTGACTGGGATTGCTCAAGAAAATTGTGGTAAAATATAACGATGAAAATAACTATAATTAAAAAAAAAAAAAAAAAAAATTCCATTTCTATTTTACATAATGACGACACCCCAGTTCTAATGGCAACGTGGAGCGCGAGTGAGCGTAATCACCCCTTTCTCTTTATTACTATTTTTAATGTGAAATATACATGAATGAACATTTCATCCCTCACGTAATCGCTCAATTAGTGTTTCAACTGTGGAAAGACATCATTAAAACGGCTTGTAAACAAAATGTCACCTAGCATTTTATTTACCTCAGGCAAGTCAGTGTCTACAGCTCGTTATTTGCTAGAGAAATTAAGACTAGCGAAGAGCTTTTTGCGAAATATTAGACTATAGGCCTACTTCATTATATTTATTAACCTGCTAGTGATGTCTTAATTATTTAATGTATATGTTTAAATATTTTATGAAACAAGTTGACTCTGTAAATTATTATATTTCAACAACATAGAAATTGTATAATTTAGAAGTTAATTTAAAAACAAATTTACATGTTTGCATACAATTTTTTAATTTGTGTTGATTATTATAGTTAAAAATAAATCGTAACTGAATTATGTTTGGGCTCTGCTGTTAACTGTAACCATATAGTAATGTAAAAGGATTCCCTATAGAGCAGACACTGAGGTAGATTTTTATCCCTAAAAAAAAAAATTATAATTGAATTTATTTAAAGAAAGAGCAATTTGTTCAGTAAACCATTGTTTAATTTAAAAAAAAAAAGCTAATTGTGTTTAGTTTTTTCCTCTTGCTGTACCGAAACCATACTGAACAGTGACGTCAAAACCAGGTATGTACCAAACTGTCATGTTTGTGTGCCGTTACACCCCTAATTAGTAAATGTCCAAATCCAATCTTAGAAGTACCAGAACTAAACTCTGTAAGTGACCAAGGAAACTCATACATGCCAGGCCATTTTACCTGTGGTTTTGGGTTTGGTTGCAGCACTAGTGGCAGGTCTCTTACTCAGACTGGTGACTGTGCTGGCAGCCGATACTGTCTTTGTTCCACTGGCTGTGGTGGTTGTTGTTGATTTGTTTGTTCCAGCCGTTGTTGCTTTAGGTTGGGCCCTTGAGGTTGCAACGGCAGTAGAATAGCCAATGGGTTTCTTACTTGGACCAGAAAATCCAACGGTAGTGGTGGGTTTCTTCTTGTCTGTTGCCACAGTGCTAGCTGGAATGGGTTTCTTGATTGGGGCACTCAATGCAGTCTTTGTGAGGCCATTAGCCACACGACTTTGGGTTGCTTTGGGTCGGGTGCCTGGTCCAGTGGTAGCTGGACCTGCAGCAATCTTGCCTTTGACTGGGCCTTTGGATTTGCTTTTAGCATCTACTGCTTTCCCAGAAGCTTCTTTAACAGTTGGAGGAGCCACTTGCTCATTTTGGGGTTCATCAGGTTGTGGGGGTGATGGTGTAGTCCCATTTTGAGACGCCCCGTCATTGCTGGTTGGTTCTGTTATGGCTTCTGTTCCTTCAGCTTCCATTGGTTCAGATGGTGCTGTGGCCACCCCATCAGGTTTCATCGCCAATATTACCTGACAATCAGTTGCTGCTTGATATGCTCGCTGGATTCAGTGCTGCTCACACACACTGAACCCAGGGATGATGGATGCGTTCACCAACTCAATAACTGCCCTGTAAAAAAAAATAAAAAAAATAAAATAAAAAAACACTTTAGACAATTAAATGCTATTTGCAGTGACTTTTTTGGCTGTACGCACCTGAAGCAACTTGATTATTATTCAGTTGGAGTGCAAAAGTTGCTTCTCGTACAAACACATACATACAACCAGTTTGGCAGAGAAATGCTTTTGCGGTGTAATAGATTTGAAGAATTTTAAGTAACCATGGAACTGAAAGAGAGTTTAGAAGTAAAACATTCTCCTGCAAGAGGAAGCAACATTTTTTAAACGGAACCATTCCTATGAAGGGCAACTTGGAAAAATACAGGAAATTATACATTATGAAAGAACCAAAATACAAACAGATCAAGTCCAGGTCGAACATCCTACATAAGTCCTTGTCATCTTTCAGTTCTTTACATCTGGAATGGACTACACTGTAAAAATGGTCCTGTTAAATTTATGCAAACAAACAACTAAAAAAAAACTAAAAATACAGTGACTGTTTCAAGTATTAAAAAATGGAATACTGGTACCTGTATATTTTACAACTCATAACATTTAATTTCATTATGTGATATAGCTAGGTAACTTTACAATTAACAGTAATTTTTACAGAACAGAAAAACTAAAATGCCACAGTAAAAACTAGCATTTACACTGTAACCGTTTGATAGTGATGCGGAAAAGTGTTTCTGTAAGTATTTTGAGTGGGTCTCCAAGACATTAGTCTGAATTGAACACTAGGCTGCATAAAAATCTAAATGTTAAGATGATTTATGGATTTGATTCATTTATGTGGATCATTTACACAGAACAGTCACCACCACCTGCTCTACAGAAATAGGATGCCATTATCTGGACCTCACCTACCTGTTCATACAAACTAGTAATTTCCTGTCTGTCAAGTGTAAACTGAGATGGCATCATTATCACCACTGTATATAATGTCCCAGTATACATCTTCAAAATTCAAATCCACAACTTTGACTCATAAATATAGCCTAATCAAAATCTGGCAGAATTCTAAAAGAAAGTCAATACCCATTTCACTGGAGCACTGCTCTACGCAAGCCATTTTCTTCCTTCAGGGACTGACGCAAAAGCTTGTCAGCAAAAAGATTGTGGCATGGAATTTGAAGAAAGGAGGATAAAGAGTCAACGTAGTGGAGAGGGGGGGCCATGAACCCATTCACCCCGTCCTTTTTACAAACTCTTATTCAGAATCCTCTTGTCTTTCTCTTCCCCCCCTTAAACAGTTCTCCTTAGCCACAACCCCCCTCTTTCGTCTACTCTCCTTCCCCTCCTCCTCTCCATCAGATCCGTTCCCTGTCTGCAGCCACACAGATGGCCCTAGCAGCTGAGCTATTGTTCTGGCTCTCCAATAAGCCCAAGCCACCAAACCAGAGAGCAAATAAAGACAGAGAAAGGGGAAATCATGGGATGAAGTAACAATGACAAGGCAAGCAGAGAAATCTAATTTTAATGTGGCACCATCCAGAAGTTGAGTGGACTCAAGTATGTGTGACAGAATCAAGAGGAGGAAAACAAACAACCAAACTGTGAATAAAAATGACGAAAGCCCCCCAGAAATGTTCCTCAGGAGACAGAAAACAGAGAATGCATGACACGTGTTCTAGAAAACTTGTCACCCTACAGGCCAAGATGATGAATTGGGAGGTCATCGTTCAGCCCACGACAGGACAAAAATTACCCAGCAGCCCTGCTGCGGTGTCTCCATGGTGATGTGAAGATCAAAAAGGGGACTTTGAAAAAAGGATCCAAAAAATGTTGCCTTTGCAACTAGCGGAAATAAAATGTTTTTTTGTTTTTTTTCAGTTAACATGCATTTTCTTTTATGAAAAAAAGAAAAGAAAAAGAGCTTTCATTTGTAGTTTCAATCAACTATAACCCTGGTATGCATAAGAGATAAGTATAAGGACAAACTAACAAAACAATAAGGGGAAGGTAAAAAATAATAATATGTGATATAATGATTGTGTGTATGAAGTGGTAGGGTGGGTTATTGTGTGCATGTCCTCATTTGACTGGATGAAGCCGTTGTGAGTGTTCACAAAGACAGCGGAAAAGGGTAAAGCCTGCTAATGCAAACAGCTTAATCAAAAAGCACTGGAGATTACGTCACATCTCCATTTCACTCACTACACTTCAAATAACTAAACACGCTTCTTTCAGCAAATCTAAAAGCAAAAGCACTTGTGAGAACATTCAGGTGCTCATGAAAAAACCTGCTTTATCATCCAAACCAAAGCTGTTAAAAACAGAGGTTCCTAAAGAGGAGTTTTGCAGTGATGCCATAAAATAACTATTTATTTTTAGTATGAAGAACATTTTCGTAAACTGAATAACCTTATTCTACTGTCAATGACCTTTTGTGGACTGGAAAAGTTCCATGAATGTTAAAGATTCTTTATGGAACCACAAATGCCAATAAAGAGCCTTTATTTTTGAAGAGTGCAGATAACATAGCCTTTCCAGTTCAACATTGCTGCTACTGAATTTCAGACTGTGTGAACCGATTCATCCAACTTATCAAAAAGAACTGACTCGAAACAATTTGCTTACAAATAAGAAATTACCATGGCTTTTGAGCAAGCAGTATCTTATGATATCGTACAGCATGAGCATAACTATAAAAATGTATATTCACTAAGGCTGCACGATTAATCAAATGCGATTGTCATGCGCATTTTGATAGTAATGCCGGTTCTGTAATCAGCAGGAAATCAATCATCACGTGCTTTCAGATGGAGCAGCATTTACTACACATAGCCGTAGTTCACTGACAAGTTACGCAAAAAAAAAAATAAATAATAATAATAATAATAATTCGCAGAGGATTTTATTGCGCGATTATGAAATAGAAGAAATTGTTCGCGATAATGACAGCTGTTTGCATAGCTTCTCAGTGAACTATGGCTCTGTGAAGTAAATGCTGCTCCATCTGAAAGCATGTGAAAATACCACATTTAATAACATATTTTTACTCCAAACTCACCTCATAACGTCAGTCAAGTGTTTGAAATAAATCCTTCAGTGAGATGATGTGGCTTCTTACACAGAATAAGGCACGCAACATATTTCATAGTATTTAAACAGTGATAAAGGCATTGCATTATAAATATACTTTATTTTAATGAAAATTATAATAACTCCGATAAACCGTATATTGCCGTAGTTGTGTGTTTATTAGTCACGTTGAATCAATGAAAGCAGTTGAATCTTCTGTTTATTCAGCTGCAGCGATAGGCATTTTCTGGGTTTCTTCTGCGAGGAGTATTTGGAGTTTCAGCGCGAGAGCGCCCTCTGGCCTTTGGATGGAGATTTACTGCTGATCACAGAACCGTGCTTCACTGAAAGACACGCATGACAATCACAGCTTCTGTCGAATCGCGATCTCGATTCCATT